AGATTTCATGTTGTTGGTGTCTACCCTATTATAAATTATTTATTTATTTATGATTGTGATGCTATTAACTATTTATAGTGTAAATTGGAATTATCCACATCTGTGCTCCCGGGTGTATCTGTGTGTTTTCTTCTTGTATGTTCCTGCCTGTGTACATGACATAAGCTGCTTCTCATAACCAATTGCCCCTTGCGGGATTAATAAAGTTGTTGATTGATTGATTGATAAGAAGTGGGGCATTATAAAATATGGAAATAAGGATTTTATGTTTCTTAAATTGTTGGTAAACTTAGAAGTAGAACACATCCACACTGCTTGGATTAGGGTTAGAGAAAATTCTCTGAACGTATATTTCATCAGCATTTTATGAGTTTCAGGTTTGAAGGGTTACTAGTTGACCGCTGTGGACACTCGGTCTCTGAAATGACAGCTGCAAATAAAGTGGAACTTATTACCTTGGAAGCGAAGAGGCTGCTGAGAATGTCCTCTTCCAGCGCTCGCTGATCCTGGTCCACGCCTGTCAGTTAGAGGAGAAACGGATATTTAACCTTCAACCAAATCTGATCATGAATCCTGCGATGGCTCCATAAGAAATGTCAAGGAGATATGAAAGCTATTTTGTCTGCTGGTGTTAAGACTCTTCTTTGTGAGCTGAAATCAAGAAGGGGTTGCAGCACTTATATCTCAAAGCACTATTTTATTTTTTTTGGTGTGTCAGTAGACAGTTTTAAGCATTCAACAGGTGACACATTATTGATTTATGGCGCTCCCAGTGTGCCTTGAGATTGAAATAAAACACAGTTTACCCAATAAAGCTTTGTTAAACCAATCAACAGTATATCACCTTCAACCAAATCGTAAATCCTGAGATTGCTCCATAATATTCTCATTTGAATTTAAGAATTTAAATGAGAAAAACCCACTTTTTTTTTTTTGCAGACTGACTGTTATTGGCTCATTGGACCAAAAGTGACATATGCAGTATATTACCTTTAGATTTTGATTCCTGAACAGTTCAATGTGACATGTTTTAATTTGACTAAATAAATCAAATAAATGTATCTTGATTTGTCATCAATTTCAGAAATATCAAACAATGTGGTTCACTGGTGTTGAATTGTTTGGGTTTCTATTTTGTATAAAAGGGGGTTCAAATGTGTTTCTAATATTTAAATTGTGAATCATTACATTGGATAACTGAGTGAAAGGGGTTTATTGAGGAGGGAATCCTGAATTAATAAGTCACAATTTGTGCCGAAAATAAGAAGAATGAAATACTTGATGAAACATAGAACTCACTCACAAAATTACCCTCCTTAAGTAAGCCAGAAAATGATGTAACTATCTCAAGAATATATCATTTTAGCCGCCGGGGTGTTTAAGGATTGAATCTGTAAAACAAAACTCAGTAAACAATAATGTTGTGTTGAAGTATTGCCGTGAAAATTCTGTTTAAAACAGATTTCCATTATTAAGAATATGCAACCTTTTGGAACATCAACAAAAAAAGCCACCTGTTGCATTCAGTACGTTCCTACACGTGTTCCACAATTCAGTGTCATGGCTTTTCCCCTATTGTGTTTCTATGAATGAAGACAGTGACTGATCGTGAAACCAAAACACAATGCATACATATATAAAACCTTGAGAGAGCCCCTGAGCTTACCTGTACAAAGTCCACCACATGTGAAACAGAGGAGAAGCATACACGCCAACTGACCCTGCATCTTGATGTGAAAACGACTCAAACCAAACGACAAAAAGGATCCCGCGGAGAAGAATTCACCTGAGGAAGAGGCTAGTCCATAAGGTTAAAGGTCAGACAGCTAAAGAGTCTGGAGTTGGATGAGATGCTTCCTCTTCTTTTTCTTCTCCTCCAGCTCCTAAAATGCTTCCCCTTCCTTGCAGTTTTTCTGGTTGGTTGTGAAATGCAGTGGGCTCCATTCCCTCAGCTTATAAGGATCAGGCTCTCTCTCTCCTCATCTCCACCCCCTCCCTCCCACCCACAAACACACTTCATCCAACCAACCTCCCAACAGTCTCTTCATACTCTGTCCAGTGTCATCGTTCCTTCAGACGTCACTTTTGCATCACAAGGCGAAAGCTTTTTGCGTCGATCTATAGGAGATTGGGTTACATTTCCTCACGATTGCACATTGAAGTATGTTTTGCAGGAGTGATGTGGAAAAATGCACGTCAGAGATTCCCTCTTTTGCCGTTATTTGAAAAGTTGGTTTCCGCGACCTCTTTGGCTTTTTCTTGCAAATGACGTCTTTTCAAAGCAACAGGAGATACAAACAAATAAGGGCCAGCTAAAGATATGAAGGGTGTTGATAAGTAACCAGTTATTAATATCTGGAAATGTAATCTTATTTTAAAGTACAATTGTTCCATCTTCTCATCTTCTTACAACCTTAAACTAATATATACTGTATACTGACGAGGATTAGGGCCACATATGAACTTCTTGAACAAATAACTTCTTTTTTTTTTTACTACAAAGATTAAAGTCGGAATTGTGAGATTCAGATTTTTTGCAGAATTCTGTCTTTAATCTCATTATTCTTCCTTTTTTCTCAGAATTCTGACTTTATCTCAGAAGAGTGACTTTAATCTCAGGATAAAAATTATAATAATTTTGGTGAGATCTCCAAATAAATGTATTTCAAGGTATAAAGACACGTCTTCAATATTTGCTTAAAGGTGGGGTAGGTAAGTTTGAGAAACCGGCTCGAGGTACACTTGTTGTTATATTCCATGGAATGCTCTTAACATCCCGATAGCAATGAATATCTGAAGTGCTTTGACAAAAAATACATTAAAAAATGTCATCCGTGGCGCTGTAAAAAGCACGACGAATCATCTGAGCCGGCCCGGCTAAAGTAACTGGATGGCCTACCTGCCTGTCAGCCTTCCATCTGTGCACAAACTTATCTCGTGCCCTCATTGGTCATTTTTTCCGGCTGTGTATTTTCAAATTCTAGCGCACTCAAGCTGGTTTCTCCAAAATTACCTACTCCACCTTTGAGGTTCAAATCTAAATCTTGAATTTGGAACCAGCTTTAAAACAATAAAAAAAACGATCTGCTCCACGAAAGGACTTCTCTCTTAGCTACTGCAAAGAAAGGAAGGAAGAAAGAGAAGTATGAACAGCTCCTTTACAACACCCAAATGTAATAAAATGAACACGTTGACCATTTAATACTGGCTTCAACCCTTAAAATAATGCTTTTGTCTTATGGCTTTCTCGTACAAATATCTTAAATGTTCTGTTAGTTATGGAGTCCCACAGGGATTACGTTTAGATCCTCTTAGATTTTTTTGACATATCTGCTGTGCATTCACATTTAAATCTAATAGGGATACAATTTGTGCAATATCTGAATATATAGTAATATCACATTAGAGACTTTAAAGTGGCTCAGTCAGTAGGGGCTTGGACTGTGAGCCGTAGGGTCGTCGGTTCAAGTCCCCGAACAGACTGTCCAGACTGGACTGCTACTTGGAGAGGTCCCAGTTCACCTCCTGCCCTGCCGTGGTGCCCTTGAGCAAGGGACCGGACACCCCCCTTCCCCCCTCACTCCCATTGCTCCCTGGGCGCTGTGCAATAGCTGCCCACTGCTCCTAGTACTAGACTTCTGGTACTAGGATGGGTTAAAAGCAGAGAACACATGTCGCTGTGTGCTCTGCATGTGAGACCATCAAAGAGGGTTTCTATCTGCTGTCTCATTCAAGTTCTACATAGTTGGACTTTATATAAAAAGCACAAATAAATGTAAGTATTTGCTCAGAGATTCGTACAATTTCAAGCCTTTTATGCTACTTTATCCCACACTACATCATAAAAGCAATTTCGTACTTTATACAGGCTTCCTTCAACAACAAGAAGTAGATGATAGGCCCTTCGACTTTTGTTTGCCCACACCGGATCATCAACACTAGATTCTTGTCTAGCAGCGGCACGNGCGCTGTGCAATAGCTGCCCACTGCTCCTAGTACTAGACTTCTGGTACTAGGATGGGTTAAAAGCAGAGAACACATGTCGCTGTGTGCTCTGCATGTGAGACCATCAAAGAGGGTTTCATCCCTCCGATTCTATCTATTCTATCTGCTGTCTCATTCAAGTTCTACATAGTTGGACTTTATATAAACAAAAATGTAAGTATTTGCTCAAGTACAATTCCAAGCTTTTGTACACTACACTAAAGCCAATATTGTACTTTTAGCTCACATATTTGACCAATTTACTTACTGTACAGATTCAGCTTATTAGACTATATAAATACAATTAAAAAAACATTAATATATGATTATTACTATCCATACAAAGTATGGCAAATCTGATCCAACATTACCCATTGTGATAAACACATAAATCCATCATTAATCATAACCCATCATTATACATTATTCTTAGATACACCCTTACACATAACAAGTACTTTTACTTCTGGTAACAATACTGTTGTACTTTTCCTTAAGAACGATTTTGAATGCAGGACTTTTAGTTGTAAATATTTAGTTGTAACTATTGTTGTAATAAAGTATTGCAACTTTTCTAAATATTTGAATAATTTGTCCTTATAACCTTTTATGAATGTTTCACTTAATATAAAAACATAGGATAAAATCATATTGAACTAATTATTTTTTTTTATCCCCAATGTTTTATCGTTTTTACTGAACAGTGTTTAGTTTAGTTCATTTGTGTATAGTGTCGTTGACAGTCCCCATTGATCAACAGTCACAAAAAAACAGTAAATGGGGCAGCTTTAGCCAACATTGCTCATTTCCAGCTGTTGTCCCCTGCCAGATGACATTAGACACCCTTGAAATCACAATACATCAACAGCATTAGTTATAAAGAAAGGATGAAAGACAAGAAGATAGAGGCGGAAGTTTAAACTACGCTTCAAACTTTAAACTAGTCTGTCAGTCTGTCCCTGCAGGTGGAAGGGGGCAGAGACACACCAATATCTGTCAGTCTAGAAACACCTCCTTCCCTCTTTCGGTGGGGCGTTCAGAGTTGCACTCTTCAACTTTTCAGGATCTCTGCTCAAAGTGTCCCGCGTCCTGCCATGCGGGGACTGTAACGCTTTTTTCGGATTGCTGCTGTGTTTTGTGGCGCTGCTGAGACATGGCTCCGTTTGGAAAAAACTTCCTGAAAGCTCGTCAGAAAAACAGGTAATTTGGCGAGATTTAAGTTTCTAGACGGGAAACCTGTTGAGTGTGAGTTTTTCTTACCGAGTTCTGTCATTTGGAAGTAGTTGAGGAGGGAGAGATTACGCACAACGCAGTGCGCATCGATTAAGGAGTGAGCTGCACAAGAGGGGCAAATGAGGCTAAACTTTAAAGGCAGTTTAGTTTTTCACATCCGAGTCATATGTCTAGTTATACAGTACATGCAATCAAAGTAAGCAAATAGTTACACGTTGACACTGTGGGGCATAAAAATACACCCCAAGTGCATCATTAAATAACATTAGACAACCACAGGGGAATACGAACCTCCCAGGATTATAAGGTGATAAAAAAAGTCCAATGCAATTATTTAAATATCTTGTTTATCAGTCATAAACCCCAAATATATTCCAGTTTTATATATGATATAAAAGAAAAGCAACACATCTACATTTTTAAGGACCTGAAAACGGCATTTCTCTGCCATCATTGTTTAGAATGAACAACAACTTGTTAAAGCTAAAACATTTTACTAGTAAATAGTTGACACCTCAATTTATTCTCAAGCACTTGAAGCCTTATTTTATCAAACAAGGAACGATATTTGTGGTGTGTGTGTTGTGTGTGTGTGTGTGTTGTGTGTGTGTGTGTGTGTGTGTGTGTGTGTTGTGTGTGGTGTGGGTGTGTGTGTGGTTGTGTGTGTGTGTGGTGTTTTGTGTGTGTGTGTTGTTGTGTGTGTGTGCTGTGTGTGGTGTGTGGATGGTACTCGTCAAAAGTACACTGTACTGAACAGTAAAACTTACAGGATCTCTCTCTTGCTCTGTTAATTTATGTCAAAGTGTTTCATTGTTAACACGCCAGACCATAAGAAAATCACACTTAGGGCGAGAGCGCGCTGTCATCACACTTGTGTATTCGCTTCTAGCAATTCCGCCTTGACTGGTTATATCGGCCTTTTGAATGTCTGCTGGGATCAGCCTTAAAAAGATTGTGAAATTAAGATGTACTGAAACACAATCTGTCCTCTGTTTTGTCACTTAATTCTACTTGATCTTGAATGCAGGACTTTTTTTTGTGTGAGGGTAAACAGTTTTTTTTTAAAGAGTATTAGTCGATTATCCAATCCCGGTCAGGGTGCATCAAAGCCAAGTTGGATCAGGAAAGGTTTTCAATTAATGGGTAAAGAACTTTTTCTAGTAATAGGTTACTCATTACAGCTTTTACCACCAAACTCAGCGGAAGGGTCTGGATTTAAATCAGGAATAAAACAAACGTTTAAACTAAATCGCTGTTAGTTGTTTTGACAGTGCACCGAGCAGAAGTATTTCACATCCCACAGCGCTAGATGAGAATATCTTTGATAACTTCAAACAGGTCTCATCTGAGGGCTGTCTCCAGTCGAGATTCTTCCTTTTTTCATGTTGGTTAGTAATTACTCTAGCATGCGCACCTATAATTACCTCATGTGTTTTCGATCTGCTAGATACCGTCAAACGCTTGATTTTCGGAGCTGCAAAGGAATGACAAGATGATGTGGAGCCAGTTGTCTAACTTTTTCAAAAGAATGCGATGTTGATTATCGCTGTTCAATATGGGTTTCAGCTCTCTTCATTAAAGCTCAAAGTGCGTCATCGGGGGAGTCCTGTGTGTCACACTGGTGTCTTTTAGTGAGACCAGCACGTTACAGTTCTCAAATGCTTTGAAATAGAATGTTGCCAGCCAGGTGACAGGTGTGACCAGAGCAATGCAGCAGCATGACAGTGATGGTGCACCGGCCCAATTAGCCGCCAAAATTGTTTGGTTAACAATTCAGCAGGCCACGGCAAACAATAAAAATGAATTCGTAAAATTGGTTGGAAGAGGCGTGAGACATTTATCTTCACTGGAGCAAATAGCTCATTGGTTGATTCCACAGACATGGAGGGGGAGAGGAAATAGAGGGGTGGGTGGTATCCCAGAGGAAGGGGGAAGAGGGAGGACAGGGGTGTGTTGTGTCTCTGTTCACAGAGCCTATCAGAGTGGGAGAGTCATCCCAGAGATCAACATGATTGATGATAGGAAAAGTGATGTTATTTCCTCCCTGGTCCCTCATCTTTCTGATAAGAGAGGGAGACGGATTCTCTGTCTACTATCTGCTCCACTACATTCTCTGTGTAAACCAAACCAGCCCAGCGGAAACACCATTTAAACACATGTTACTATACATCTATCTTGTTTGAGAAGGAACATTGGGATTTGAGCCTTTGCCAGCATTTCACATGCACAACAAAACCTTTAAAACAGGACTAGAGCACATGTTGTCCAAACCGAAGGCCCGGGGGCAAATCAGCCACTTCGGGGATTTGAATTCGGCCCGCAGATCATTTCTAATCACTATTCGATCTGGCCCGCCGGGATATTGCCACCTTTCACTCAATCCTGAGGGGTCTCCTCAGCTCAGAGCCTGAGCCCAAACATTGATGAACCTTGGCCCCGCAAGATGAGATGCCAATGTATCTGAACTAGCATCACAGGCAGCACCTGAGTTTAATGGATTTTCCTTCTGCACTTTGATTCTTTTAGACAACAGCATGTTTGCGTTTGTATCTTTGAGGGAATATTTTTTTTGAAGCTGTTGTTGGGCCTGTGGAAAAATGTAATCATAAGAACATGACTCCTGGAGAAAGCTGCAGGATAGAG